GACCAAACCGTAGCCGGTCCCGCATGATAGCGGTGCCACCGAAACCACTCAGGAGGGGCGTACTGAAGAGTGCCTGAGAGACCCAACAAGACCACAAACATCATCTGAAGAGGCTCCAGTCCAAACAGATTCCCTTCGGTCGATCATCAAAAGTCCACAAACAAACACAGATCACTGCAGTGAGATCAAACCAACCTGCAAAGTGTTTGTAGGCCGAGTCTTTCAGCAGATCTCCACAGCCGAAGTCCAGCAGCTTGATGTCATGTGACTCTGTGGAGATCAGCAGGTTCTCTGGTTTGACGTCCCGGTGCAGGACTCCACGGCTCTTGCAGTGTCTCAGCGCCGTGATCAGCTGCAGCAGCACTTTCTTGGCCAGGCTCTCCTCCAGGCGTCCATTCTCCTCACAGAAACTCTCCAGATCTTGGCAAAGAAGCGGGCGCTCCAAGATCATGGTGTAGCGTCCGGGACGGTCAAACCACTCCAGCAGCTGCAGGACGTTGGGGCAGGCAGGAGCCGAATTAACCAGGGTCATCAACGCCACCTCCAGCGGCAGCCGACCCTGACCTTCCTGCAGGACAAATGCTCCGTTATATCCAGCGCTGAATCAGACGAAACAGAGCAACAGATTCACTCTGAACTTACAACTCTCAGTCTCTGTGTTCCTCTTTTAGAGACGTACTTGATGGCAACCTGTAGACAGATGAAGCACAGTAAACCACGCTGACTAATTATCACCGATGACATTTACTGACATCAACATTTCTAAAGGCTGTTTAACTGCGGGAGGTAAGAAAATGTCTTACTGGCAGTCCATCAGACCTGCGGGTCCCAGCATACACAGAGCCGAATCCGCCTCGCCCCAGCAATGGGCCCTTGACATACGCTTCTGCAACACACAAGATCACAAGAAACGTCTTTAACAGAAAACATGCTGCAGCATCTAAACCTGTTACAGAATGTTACTGTAGTTCAGCTGAAGAGCATTTTCAGTGACAAATCATTTAGTGAGTCATGAGGTGTTTAACATCAGTGTATTCTGACCTCTGCGGGAGCGTTTGGCAGGTCTTCTGTATGAGGGGGACGGACGCTCATCCTCCTGGCTGCCGCTCTGCCACTTCCTCTTCCTGTGAGGCTGATCTGTGGACACAGAAACGGCCAACTCTGAAGGCAGAGGTGCGATGTATCCAGGCAGCTCTTGGCTCAGTGGCTGGTTTGGGTTTGGCAGCGGTTCCTGAGCGCCGTCACCAGAGCCGCGTCTCCCAACCTCCTGAGCAGCCGTCTGGGAGACAGCAGCACTCCTGGATCTGCAGCGGCCTGAGCCTGCAATATTTCACACATCAAACACTTACAGCCTTTATTAGGAACATTTATTAATAATCAACCACCAATGCCACTGGTCACATCAAATTATGTTACTTTACATTTTTAAACTTTCTATTGGGTCTTGAACTGTATTTGAGCAGCTCTGTAGTTTGCCAGCATTATAACTGTGTCTAAGAATTAAACATATTTCACTGATTTTCATATACAAGCAATAAAATACATGTGATCACTGAGCTAGTAAAAATGTGTGATTAAATGAGTTAGCCTGCACACATTTCTTCATATCAATTCATTCAAACAATGTACAACATCATACCATAACATACCAATAATAAACAAATGAAAATTAAAACACTCACCTCGTCTTTCACCCATATGAGCCATTGACAATCTCCTCCAAACTCCAATAAAACAATACATAAAT